TATCAGCATGGTTTCCTTTTCCGTGCCAGAATGTAAATTTCCAGCGAGCTCGATATTCAAATTAGGTAGAAAGGAGGAAGCATTTAAAGGAAGGTTTTGGAGTGTGAAACCTGAACGTGTTCTGCTGCTTGAAGGCCACGTTGCTAACTTTAATTCTCTAGTGATCAGTATTCTGCGGCTTTGAGTTAGTTTTGCCATAAGGCTTGTTTACGCTAATTTCGGTCAGAGGCCGCCTGCGCGTTAGTTATACTGTGAAGCCCATTAAGCTATACTTAAAATTTAATTAGTTTTAGTTCATCCATTATTTGATTTAAAACCGAAGCTACTGGCTTCTGAAAGCACAAGTTGGTGCCGTTTGTTAAACTTTATTTGAATTAATAAATGGTCTTTACACTCTTTCCCTGCCTCTGTGGTACTTATAAAGAGGTTATCACATCTAGCGACGGTCCCTGCAGGACGAGACTTTTCTCAGAAACGAGTTTCTGGTAGCACTGGTTTAAACGAAAGGATTCCTAGAAAAAAGAGCTTCGCTGGAAGCGAAGTCCCGCCTAGCTAAGGAAACTATGTACCGGCTACGCGAGTCATTTTGAAACCTCGACGAAAATATCTCGGCTGCAGCTCTATCCCGCGAAGAGATCAACCAATCAGACGAAAGTTCTGCTTCTGAAGGATCACGTGATCCCAGTCTGAGAGATAATCTATTAGTGTTTGCCTTTCAAGTGAAAATGGTAACTTAGCTATGTGCGTTTCCTGAAATGTGCGGGTTCTGTTAATTGTCCCTCTCGACGTCCTGTCCCTCGTAGCTGAAACATGTGTGATTGGGACTAAAGACAGCTTGAAAACTCACCAGTTGTCTTCAGTGCTTCTCTTTCTTTAGCCCTGGGTTGTCTTTTAGTATTTTGGTCTAATTGTACGCTACCTAAGAAGGCCAGATCCTGTAAAGCTTTCGCAAATAGTTCTCATACACTCAGTTACTTACGGCCGTATGAAATTTCTTCATATTTATTTTGCCATTTTTCCAATCCTTTAGATATATTTGAATTTAGATTATTCTTATTACACTGACAGATCTGCTAACATACCCACAATGAAGTTTGATCGAATCTTTATTCGTTATAGAAATGGCACAGTTGAAAACGAAAAACTGTGAAGCATCTGACTAGCTAATGAAAATCTTTTATTCTTTGTTAATTACCGAAGTCTACGTTCCGACAGAACGACCGAAGGGAGCAATACGCAAGAGTAAATGCAATGATGTATCTTACACTGTATGGTAATTTTACGTCATGTTCAGTACTGCAGGGGGCCGAATTAACTTGACTCACAAATACACTTAAAATTCGAAGAGAAAGAAACGTGTAATAAACTGAATTTTTATCTCCACTCTTTATAAAATGCTATTAATTTATTTATACAATTTCTCGCAATTTTTTATCTTCATATTATATTGAATTATTCCTTAAAGTAATTTTCTGATTAAAAGTTAGTTTAATAAAGATATTTATTTTAAATCTAAAATCTCGCGATGAAATATGGAGTCACGTAAAATCGAAATGTAAAATTACGCTAGCAAAAACATGGGCGAAAAAATTAAATAAAACTAAAATTACGTTTTAATAATAGAAGAACAATGGGTATGGAATTAATAATGGAAATGATTATTTAAGCCTTCAAAATGTATAAGGAAACCTTTCTAAATAACATTAGAAAGAAATGTATACTGGAATATGTACGTAGTTTTAGGATTTTATTTTAGTAGGCAACTTTGGAATAATTTTTTTCAATAATGAATTGAATACAAATTTTGAAAATACACAATTGGATGGACGTTAAGTGTCAATATATCCACTCGTATCGTAAATTAATCAGTATATCCATTGAGGATATGCTGACTAATTTTGTACGCTACATTTTCAAACAAAACATTTAAATTACTTCTCAAGTTCGTTTAGTAATATTAAGTAAATATTTATCACCTTTAGATATGATTATAATTTTTGGTAAATATTTTTAGTTCAAAGGGGCTTTGTCCCTGAAGGACCACTGTTTTCGTTTTGCGATTTTGCGTTGAATCACTATAAATGTCCGTTTCACTTTTAAAACTGCTGCCACCAAATGTTAGAGTCCTGCATTATATTTGAAGAAATTAAATAATGAAAAATCTGCATAAATGTATGTCTATTTCTCGCATTGTGATAAAACAACGAGCCATCGAAGTTTGAATGACGTAATCCTCCTACGAATATGGCATGTGGAAGACCAAATTTGAAATTTGGAATTTGTTTTATTATCGATTTCATATTTTGTAAAACTTTAACGAATTTTTGATTAACAAACTCAAGGATTTCAAAGCGAGCAATGGCAACACTCTACGGGAGAAGAAAAAAACGTTTTTATCTCCAGCGCGCGGAACTGTGTATCGGAAATTCTAGAGTTTAAAATTATTTTGCGATATTGTTCTTGAATTGAATTTTAGGATTTAAGTGCAAAGAGCATGATATTTAACAAAATAAAGGTAATACACAAAATGTAAAACAAACGCCTTTTTGGACATAATTTAAAATCTGAAACCTTTCAGATCCCTTTTTTTTTATTTCAAATTTTTAATTTATTTGATTTTTTTCTTTAATTTACAGAGCAAGAAATTTAAAAAATCGGAATTGATAAAAAACATCAGTTTACAATAAATAACAATATTACACTTTCGTTGAAACGTGTTGTTATTTGAAACTCAGCTCCGCTTAAGTAGTTGTTGTGATAAAGGAGTTTTGGGCAAAACTTGAAAAAATAATTAATGGAAAACAATTTTTTATACTTATACTCAACTGAAAACTTGGAAGGGCTAAGGTTAATAGATAGGTTTAAGCCAGGTTATTAAACCAAATACAATACTTATAATTTTCAAGATGTTAAAAAGTGGAATTATTACACGCATTAATAGCCTTGCACCGTTTTATCTTAAAAGATAACAATGAAAAGCCTGTCACCACAACTGGAACAGATTGTATTCCAATAAATTTTGAAATCTTTTCAAGCTGTCATGTCGCAATTTTTAATTCTTTCAGTAAACGCCCAAGGGAGAGCTTAAATGTTAGTAATATGTAATTTTGTATATGTGTTATGCAAATTGTTGCTCAGATTCTTTATTGTATATTGTTCTTTTTTCCTCCTGATTGCATTTTGTTTTTACTAGTAACACTAAGGCATCGCACTTCGTATTTTGTTTCTCTTGTGTGTACATGTATTCTTCTGTGAAATAGTTGTTAAAAAATAGTTAATTATGTATGGATTAGTAATTAGGTACTTAAGGAAAAAATATGTATTTAACTATTAGCAATTATGTACTTAAGGAAAAAATATGTATTTAACTATTAGCAATTATGTATTTAAACTCTTACTCATTCAATTATTTAGCACATTCAGTTATATTTCTCATAATTCGAAACTTTTATCATGTTATTCGATGAGGGGTAGGGCTATGACGCCCAGGCACCCTGTTGGTTAAGCACCGCAGTTCAATGTATGTATGTATGTATCGGAAATTCTAAAGATATGCTCATTTTAAAATTATTTTGCGACTTTTGCTATTGAACTGAATTTTATGTGCAAAGAAGTTTTAGTGCAAAGAACATGATATTTAATAAATAAAGGTAACACAGAAAACGTTAAAAAAAAAAAAAAAAAAAAAAAAAAAAAAAAAAAAAAAAAAAAAAAAAAAAACGCCCCTTTGGACGAAATTTAAAATCTGAAACCTTTCAGATTTTTAAGATATCAGAACGGATTTTGTATATATGTAAATAACTTTGGTTAAATTACATGCGAAATAAGTATTTTTTGTTAAGATGTAACATGAAATGCTTAAAAGAGACGATGCTTTGCCGGAAAAATAAGATTATAGGGATCAATCTAATTAACATTGAGTACATGGCTATCTGACTAAGTTGGCCAGATATCGTCAAGCTGGCGACGGTTTTGGAGACTAATTCTTGTCGTCAGATTTGGTGAGAAATCGCCAAAAGTCACCAAACTTAGCGAACATTTGGCAACATTTTGGTCCAGGTCCCTGTATTGTAATTGATACTATGACTGAATAAATGTAATTGATCGCTATATCTGACCGTAACCGTATCTGGTGATGTGCCTTCCAGTAATTTTGAGAACAGGCAGGTACTAGAGATTTCTCGGCGGCTGGGGAATTGTCTAGTAAGACAGGAGACAACGTCTGTTTCTCAGATGTAATTTCAGAGCTGAATTCGGAGTATTGAGATATCCGCGGGAGCTTCGCCTTGTGTATAGCGTTCTTAGTAGTTTGAAGTGTACCTACTGATTGTACTGTCAGATATTGAGAAGAGCTGCACGAGTATTTTTGGAATGTTCCAGAACTGCAATGTGTTCCTTTTGGTAAAATGAATTTTATCAAGATATTGTTGGTTCTGTGTGCATTCAATCTATTACGAACCCGTACGCAAGCAACAATATCATTTAAGCTCTGTAGGAAATAAATGTATTAAAGACATCTATTGTAAGTGTATTGAATACACGTTGTGTGATCATATTTTCAAATATATTTCGTAGTTATCGTATGGTTTATCGCAAACATTCATTAAATTTACGGCAACACAGGGAAGAAAGAGAATTTTTATTGCTTTACGAGATTACGGCAAAGCCTCGAGGACTATCTGCCTAAGGAAAAGGATGCCTTCGTGGAGGACTTTCTAAGGGAAACTCGCTCGTATACACGTTACACAGGGGTAAAACCACGAAAACGCTCATACAGCCAGCCCATTCGTGGGATTCGAACCTCGGACTGAACTACCAGTGTTCAGCGACTTTACCGCTCGGCCGCTGGTAGGCTCGGAAGAAAGAAAAAGACTTGAACTTTTAAAAATATTAAACAAAAATAATTTACGTTTATTGACATTACTCCTAGAACTGGCATAAACGAAAATACGAGATATGAAATATTTTATTATGTAATTGCTGAGAAAAAAGAAACACAATTAAAATTAAACATTTTATTGAATAAAACAAGTATATACATATAACATTTGTCAAATCGCAAGAATTAAAATTGCTCATGTTAAACTTCCACTTTAATGGAATAAATCAATTGTAAAATCAGTTCAGTCCAAATAATACCCTGAGTCATTATGTATATGCATGCTTGTATATTAATATATTCTGTCTTTTCGCATATAAGCTGGACCTTTCGAGACATTTTACGAAATATCTCTTAAGTTTTACTTTATTTCTTTACATTAAATTTTCTTGATTGTATAATTTCTTTTAAAGCTTACGAGTTATTTTAGTATTTTTTAGATGCACGATCGGAAGAAAAAAAACGGAAAAGAAACATTTTAATGTGCGGAATAAAATTTAATTTATTTTTTAAAACTATTCGTTGTTTTATATGAATGCATTTATATAAAACGTAAGCCATTAATAACATTTGTTGTTTAATATCGCTTGTTGTAAATTTTAATACACAGCTCATGCACTAAAATGTATGGATGCAATCACTTCCAACGCGAAATTCAGATAAAAAAGTAAAATTAATAATTCCACTTTGCGTCTCTTTCCACTTTCGTTAGATGAATCCTGTAATCTTCCACTGTATGCAGAAAAAATACATTGAAGAAAGAAATATAGCAAAATAAATATTTTCGAGGCTAATATGCAAGAAATATCGTAATTATTTATTATAAAGTATTTACACGCAAGATAATTCTTCTTAAATGTATCTGCCAGGAAATTTCTGACAGAAATTTATTCACCTCACATTCTGTATTTGCTTGGAGTATATATTCCATAGTTAAAGCCAACCACGTTAGCTGAGAATCAGTTTTCTCCAGTATCATCATAAAAATGATTGCGCTAAAGGTCTGTCTGGTTGATAGGTCAAAGGCTGCAAGTGACCACACGTGGGACTTATGGTGCAGATGGCAGTGCATATTGGACCTCGTACTTCCATTCTGTGAAGTCCTGTATGTCTCTTTCGCATTTCATCTACAGTAACAGCATAGTCTGGACCAGGACTTTTGCCCAAATAATCCGGTTTTCTTGGATACATTTCGTCCCCTAGTGAAAACAATCAAAATATATGAAAGGTTAAAGTAACATAAACGTAAACGTAAATTAAGAAATCTGATGTGGACAACACATGACTTGTACGGCCTATTAGATTATACACAGTTTTTACTGCACTTCATTTAAATCTGTTTCCTTAAATTTCATTAGAAATATATTTTTCATTCAATTAATTCATTTTTCACTTTGCGGCAAGGCAAAGTACGTAAAAACTCGAAATATCTTCATTAAAAATTATAAAATAAAAAAAAAAAAAAAAAAAAAAAAAAAAAGAGCTAAAATACCGGACGCAAAAGTAAAAACAATAAAAAAATTTGCAATTAAAATTAGGGTTTCTACGGGAAAACTAATAATTCGACCAACGTGCTAAAAGACATATTTTTAGGTGCACCAGAATTTAAAGTTAACCCTTCGTCTCACTTTTCAGAAAAACACTGAAGTTGGTGCATGAACTGACTTAATTCACTATACAACTATGAGTTTCAAATGTCAACAAATGGCGATCTTGTTAAGCTTAGCGTCACTTAAACTTTTAAACTGTTGATAATTCTACAACTATTAAATGCAGATTAACGAAAGGTATAAAAACCTTAGAGCGCACATAAGAAAGACTTATCAGACTTTCAAAGCAAAAAATGCACAATTTGCCAACACCTAAGAATAAATACATAAAACTCACCGACCCGGGTTAGAGCCACCCTCTTATGCAATTGATTTCTGCGTCAGTAGATTTACTCTGTGTCTGTCGTGTAGAGAATTTGTCTGATAGCGTTTTAAAAACTAGGCGAATGATTTTCTGATTTACGGAAATCTTAATTTTATTTGATTCTGAATTATTTATTTTAATGCTTTAATTTTGGGGAAAAACAGATGCTTCTCGGAATATTATTTAGTTTAAAAGAATCTTATTTTTCTTATTTGCAATTTTTGTACCAGCTTTGATTCATGTGAAAAGAAGCAGGGAAAGGGAAGATTTTTGCTAAGTCATGATTTCGCGCGCTTTTCCTTTAGAATGTTCTAGAAGGAATTTCATTGTAGGACCTTAAGGAAGGAAGTACGTGACAGGAGTTTGCGACTTGACTTTCGATGTAAGTCATTCAGGTTTTGGCGATTGAGGGTCCGGTGTTGGCTAAGTGAAGAGGGCGCGCATGCGCGATCACCCTATTTCCGAATTCAGGGGTGAAAACGCAATTTGCCAAAATAAGGGGGCGATAATGAAGCATAGTGGGAGCCCACGTTTGTGAAGGAGAGGAAGAAAATTCGAGTTGAAGACTTTTTAGGGGACATTTCGTGCGCGAGACTTGGCGAGAGACTTGCTTTGCTGAACTCTTTTGGACGTTATTTTTGCCGACTTTGGACTAGTTTTGCTGAAGGATTTAAGACTTTCAAAATTAAAACTTTTTTTGCCGGACTTTCAAGGCTGAAGGACTTGTGTGAATGAATAAGTGGTGAGTCAGGCGGATCACGGAGGACACTATCGGGCCGTCGCCTTGCTGTCGAAAAGAAAAAAAATGATCCAGCGAGTATGAAGTATTAATTTCCAAAATTATTGGCCAAGTTCCACCCCGGCCAACATGAGATTTGATACTCGACATCCTGACTGCGAGCTTGAAGATTCTGCTCGGGTGCGGTTTCTAGGGCTTGTTTTCTGCGATGCTGAGCGAACCTGCGGATTGGGTTGCTGAAAAATCATTGAGTCGGTGTTATCCGGAATGATTTCCAGAAACTTATAATCCTTTGAATTTCTCCAGAATGCAAGGCCAGCCCAATACCTTTACGGTGCGTTCAAGTCGACAAAATCACAGATAAGTGCTTTCTCAATTTTCCTTAGAACTTTTGGAAATTAGAATTTACTAAAATTGAATCTTAAACAGTCTACTGAAAATGAATTGCTTCCTTTTCCCCTTCTAAATTACGAGACAAACCTTAAGATTTTTATATGAATTAGGGTGTAATAATAATAGTTGTTGTGTAAATCTTCCTTAGAACAGATGTGAATTGCAAAATATGTTTTCCTTAACCTCTCAGAAAATAGATCGGGTACCGTAAATTAAGAGTCTGTAATAGATTTGCAAATCATGAATTTAAAAGTAACAAAAATGACAAATGATGTATTCCCTGTGTTAAAATAAGAATTGTAATGTAACAAAAATAAGAAGTTAGGATAAGATTAAGTTATTGTGAGGAATTTGAATAAAACTGATATTTAATCGGGAAACCTATTACTTATGTTTCTTTTATCTGTTATGTGTTTTCTTATATATTATATTGATTTTAATGTTGTTTATTCGATCCTCCACGCGCGTCCTGGATGCGTTTTCAAACGCAATGCATTCCCGTTTACCTATACGATCACTAAAAGTTTGGTAATTAGCAAACTCTTAGAGAGGAGTCTCAGTTGCTTTTTTTAGTTAGTTGCGGTTTCACCTGTCTGTTTCTGCATTAGTTTCCTCCCTAAGAGAAAGTAGTAACACTGCATTGGTGCCCATGATTTTTACGGCAAAGTATAGAAACAGAACACTGGTGCAGTAGCGATTTAACATGTCTCTGCGAGTCTTTCTGCGTCATTAGTGTATGTATAGATATATATATTATAAAGCTTCAACTTCTAAAACTGTGTAAACACCGTCTGTATGTGAAATATTTTGATTATTGTGCAGATACATTATTTTCTTAACAAAATATGCAGAGTATAGTCGAATTTTCGTTGACGGAACCACCACTCGTTAGCAAAAACTCCGCATTAACGGACAGATTCCTTAGACACTTGTTAGCGGGCACTCGCTGATAAGGGACAAAGTTCTGGTCCGCTCAATGTCCGTTTAAGAGAAGTTCTACTGCATTTATTTTCAACCATACGCAAGAATACTGAGATAATAATTTTTTTTCAAAATTATCTCAGGCATAAAATATTATTAAGTAACAAAGGTTAATAAATGGAAGTAGTAACAAAAGTCCTGACAATGTGTTTGTTGCAGCAACAAACATGATAAACACGCAAAGCAACTTCGAAAAAGTTTGATATATGCGTCTCCGCACTTTTGCATTTACATGTGTGTACTATTTTTATTTCAATATTAAACTAGCATGTGAATATATTGACACCTTCAAAAGATTTATGTAATTTTTAAAATCGCAATAATAATGAACAGTTATCGAAGGAACGACTGTTAAATTTTTAAAGATGATACCTAGGAAATAAAACAGAACGGAAAACTGGTTAGAGCACTTTGATGAATGAAATGTGTCTTGAAGGGGAAGAGATTGAAGATCAAGTTCAGTCATATGATCTGACGTGGATGGAGAATATTTCTCAATATCTGGTTTTGCAGGCATTCAGCTACTGAACTAGATTTGTGAATTTTTAAGATCAAGGAAATTAGAACTTCTGTTCCTCATAAAGCAATATGTATTACAGTTTAATATCACCGCTAAAAATAAAATTTTTTCGAAATCCGCTTAAAAAAAATTATGCCCCCCAAAAAAAAAAATCACTGAACGTTTATACACTTATTTTTCTTTCTTTTTAGTTTATAGAGTTTGCTCTTCTAGCATAAACTAGTATCAAACCGTAACAGACTTTCAGCGAATTATCGCTTATGCGTAAGTTAACTACAGAGACTCGAGAAGGGTAAAATAAACTTTTACGTCATTGTACGAAGTAAAGAAAGTATTGTAATCCTAAAAAATTTCCGGTATCATAATTTCAACCAAAATATCCAGTTTGACCGCTCTTGAATCCACCTGAAAGATATTTTTGCATGACATTTGTAAGTAAGGGCAGAATAAAGGACTCTTTTGAACAAAGCGGATTGTAAAATGGATTCAATGGGGATTTTTTGTGACGTCTATACGTACGTATGTATCTCCCATAACTCAAAAACGATTAGCAATGGAACGATGAAATTTTGTATATGGGATTGTTATAATATCTACTTGTGTATCTCCCTTTCTTTCTTATATATATATGTATATAGCTGTGTAGAATTATCAACAATTTAAAAGTTTAAGTGACGCTAGGTCTAAAAAGGCCGCCATTTGTATATATTTGAAACTCATAGTAGAAAAGTGAATTAAGTCAGCTGCTGAACCAACTTCAATGTCCTTTTGTAAAATGGGACCAAAAGTAAACTTTCCTTTCTGTGCACCGAAAATTTTGTCTTTCTCTCTTTTGGCCGAATTGCTTGTTTTGAAGTAGACATTCTAATTTTAATTGAAAAAAAAAATGAACTATTTTTAACTGTATTTTGTGTTTTAGGTTTTTCTATATTTTACAATTTATAATGAAGATGATTTGAATTTTGATGTATTTTTGACTTGCCACGAAGTAAGAGCTAAATTGATTGAATGAGAAATATATCTGTAATGAAATTCGAAGAAACAAGTTTAAATGAAAATCAGCAAAAAATGCGTATAATTTAATAGGCCGGAGAAGGAAGTCATGCAGTGCCCACATCAGATCTTTTACTATTTATGAACAGAATGAAACTTAAAGTTATCCAAACAAATCCTTCTCGTCAATTCATGAAGTCGCCGATGACTTGGAAACTTTTCGTGGGGTTGCTAATAGTCAGAAAATGCCAATAAGGAGATTATAATTATCTGAACTTCTCCTAAAGCTAGAATTTTGAAAAAAAGCTAGAATTTTGAAAGCTAGAAAATTCGACTATATATAGAAATTATGTTATATTTTAACACACATGAATACAATATGAAATAAGACGACTCACGTTAGGGACAGTTTAAAATTTCTTAATCAGAATTTTTAAAATTAATGATATTGAATATATTTTTCACATTTCGATAATTTTAACTATGTAACATGGGAACTGGCCTTAAAAATACACATATTATGTCACAGCTCAAATTTGAATCAACAGTGTATATTATGAATAGAAAAATAACAATTACGATATTTGCTATTGTGTTTTTCCTGTCACTCTCATGGTTGTTGTCAACTCTCTGGCTGGGATTAGATTTTATTGTACAAT